TCATCCATAATTACCAATGCATCATTATGAGGTACTACCACCCCTCCCCCCCCCCTCCCCACATCTTCTGCGCGAAAACTTATTGTGGGCATTCGAGTGGTCAAGTTAACTTCTTCTCTCTTGCGTTTTATCGATCGCGCGTATTCTTTACGGGCATGATTCGAATCTCCATCAGTAGGACCTCCTGAGATCATGAATACCATACCTCTTTTTATGGGGAGCTGGCCATTATCTCCTCTTTTCTTCTGTCCTGCCTGGTCGATCCTATCTCCGTGTGGGTCATCTTCAAGCTCATCGTCGCCGCTCCCTCTTCCCAAGTCTTCTCTGCACTTTCTTTTCTCTTTACATCCTACTCGATCATGATATACGAATTCCTTCAAATGCCCTGCCCTTATTAGCCTCTCGATCTCATCTTTTAAGTGACGACAATCGTCGGTTGTGTGGCCATAGTCTTTGTGGAAGCGGCAATATCTTCTTGATTTGGGTTGGGTAGGGCCTTCAAAGCGAGATCTTGGCCAAGAAATATCCTTCTCCCCGAACTTTTTCTCCATTACTACTAGGACTTTTCCCATCTTGGCGTTCAGCGGTGTGAAATTATTGAATCTCGCTCCTCGAGCTACAAATGGTCGATCGGCCCATTTGTCATTGCGGTTATTACTTGATCCTTCTCGATTATCCCTTCTTGGCGACCTTTTCCTAGGAGATGATTTCGGCTGAGGGCTCCTCCTGGGAGAAGGTTGCCTCCCTTTCTTATGTTCTTGTCGAGCAACATTCTCCAGTCTTGAGAATTCCTCCTCCGTCTCCTCCAGGTTGATGTACTTCTTGCATCATTTCAGTATGTCTTCATAAGATCGAGCAGGTGTTTTAGCCAAGGATGTTCGACAAGGTCCTGCTCGAAGGCTCCGGATTAATTCTCCTGCTTTTACCTTATCTGATGCCGAAGGTATTTCTAAGCATGTTTGATTATATCTAGCCACATACTTTGGGAGTGACTCATGTTCCCCTTATCTCATCGCCATCAAAGTAAGGTATGTCTTCTCCTGGGAGACAGAGCTGGAGTATTGGTTCAATAACTTCTCGGTGAAATCCTCGAAATCTCTGATCTATCCTGGGGGGAGCTGGTTGAACCAGTCTAAGGCACCCCCCCTTAGAGTCGACAAGAATGCCCTAAAACTCACGGCCTCTGAATAACCATGCAAAACTGCCATGTTCTCATAAGTTCGAACATATCGCGATGGGTCTGTTGTTCCATCAAACACCAAATGAGTTTCCTTGAAATTCCCTGGTAGTGGTGCATCCAAAATTCGGGTTGAAAAATGATGTCCCCTAACTCGACCAGATGGCCGGCCATCGACCCTCTCCTGCAATTGTCTCACTTGCTCGACCAGCCTCTCTATTTCCCCTCAGGAGGTGCTTCTCTACGGCTAGGCGTATTCTCCTCATTGGCTTCACTCATCGTCGTCGGGGCAGCTGTTGCTTGGGATTGACTAGCTGTTACATGTCGTACTGCTCGAGCCGTAGCATTGGCCATCATTTGTTCTAGCTGCTCTCTGGTCAGAGTCACTACTTGTCGTTTTGGAGGTCGATCCGCCATCAATGGTGGTACAGGTTGGGCTCTAGCTCCTTCATTTTGCGCAATTACCCGGTTTGCTTGAGATGGTGGTTCAACCACCCTGTCCTGCTCTCTATTTGCTGGCGGTATCTACAGCTGTCCACCGCCCTGGGTTACTATCGCTGGATTTTGTCCACCCTGGGTTACAGTTGTCGGATCACCTCCACCTTGGGTTATAGTTGCCGGATTCCCTCCACCTTGGGTTACCGTTGGACGACTCCCCGGTGTTTGTGACGTTCCGACAAATCCTGGTGGTGGACCTTCCCCTATCGGTCTCGTTTCTGTCCATACATCATCAAATGATGACTGCAAGTTTTTCCTCGGAATCCCGTTCGTCAAAGCTTCAGATGTTGCAAAGCAAAAGCTTCTTGTTCAAAGTCCCACAGACGACGCCAAAATGGTATCAAATTGCTACCTCGAACCGGTTGGACTCCTTCAGAACCCGTTCTCCACGCCGGTTAATCGCTCCAAGTACCTACAAAAAAGCCAGTGCCGGAGGGAAGGTATCTTCGGCTTGGCCCTCCGATGCTTAAGTTAGTTATCTCTCTTTTCTGTATTCTGATGGGTAAAGAATTGTGTATTGCTTACCTCCTTGTTTCCATTCCGTTACCTCTTTATATATGTGTTCATAGATAGTGGTTTGACCCACGTTACAACCGCTCTCGTCACGTTTCCCCGATATTCGGGATCGCTGAACGTCTCTTCACAATTTAATATAATACTTTACTACTTCATCGACTAATGCCTCTCCTTCTGATCGACTATTCATCTGCTCGACCCTTAAGCCACGTGTCCTCCCTAGACCGACACGTTGGTCTTGGACCGACGATATAATATCCCATATCACATTACAAAACAATTTGTTATATATAACAAATTATAATATAATATACTATACTTATATAATACAATATACTTATATAATATAATATAACAAATTATAATATAATATACTTATATAATATAATATACTATACTTATATAATATAATATACTATACTTATATAATATACTTATATAATATAATATAATAAATTATAATATAATATACTTATATAATATAATATAACAAATTATAATATAATATACTATACTTATATAATATAAAAGACTTATATAATATAATATAACATTTTATAATACAATATACATATATAATATAACAAATTATAATATAATATAATATACTTATATATAATATATTTCGGTGGCTTTTTTTTTATTTATTATAATTATTTCATAAGTAATAAAATGACACATTTCGTTTTTTAGGAATGTACTTAATTTCAGTCAATTGAGACTCGATCTCCTTATATATCTTATGCCACACTGTATCGAGCGCGCCAGTTGATGTGTGAAGCCACTTTTTCAACACAGAGTGGGCACTTTCCACCCTACAGGTAGTTGTGTTGCCAAAAGGTGTTACTTGGTTCGTCCAGGCTTTCACAAACTTCTCCTTATGGACTAGCCACGTCTGCTCGAGATACTGTACCACTTGTGAGCCATTCCCGTATTTTGCATTCAATTGAGCTATGGCAGCGTCGTACTCATCCGACGTACTGGCATCCATAATCGACTTCCACCGACCGCGCAAGAACCTCTCAGATAAGTTTTTATTTTTCCCAAACAGGTTGTACACTTTGTTTTCCACATCCTTGTTGATGTGCCACGTGCAGAGTAAGTGGGCAGATTGTGGAAAATGCCTCATAATAGGAGTCATTAAGCCCAACTCTCTGTCACTGACAACCGCATTAGGATGCACCTGAGCAGCGGCAAAAATTAGTGAGACACGCCAAAAAAAGCTCAAATTTGTTTACCATATTGCACAAAGTACTTTTATTACTAATTAAATTAATCGTGTACTTCATATAAATCCTTACCGTATAGCCTATCAGAAGTCTCAACTTGTCGAGAACCCAATTATAACTGGCATCTTTCTCGTCCTTCATGAGGCATACGCAATTAGAAAGTTATTGTTGCACGGCGTCATGCCAATCATCTCGACCAACGGCATCTTGTACCTGTGAAAATGAGACCAAAAGACAAAAATTATAATCACATAAAATTTAATCCAAAATACAAATTTAAATTAATACTAATAACATATCTATAAATTTAAAATACCTGTTGGTTTTGTACGTCGAATCTATGTCGACAAACCAGTAATATGTCCGGAATAGACTCACTAAATCAGGATGGGCCATGAATATGTGTGTCAGCGCATTTGTATTTGGATCGACATTTGTGTAAACTATATACTTGCTGCTGCTAGCCAAATGTAGAAGTTGCGTAGGAACGTCCCTACCCTCAAAACTTTCCTTACGCAACCAGTCTCAATAGTTATATATATGTCGCTGATTAGCATGGTCGTGTGGATTTTTTTTCTGGACGACGGCCAAAATATTTGCTGGTGTTGCATGCGCAGCAGTCATATCACGAATAATATTTTTTGATGACTGGCTGATGCCGCTCGACTGTCGATGGCCCTCAGGATACACAACAAATGAATGATTATGGTATCTCTTCTTTTCGTCTTGACTCGTGTGGATCATCCCGTATGTCGATCTGGCAACACGCTTTACTTGTATCTCAAAAGGGCACTGGCACACTTTCGTTTTTGAATGTCTAGAAACAGCTTTATTCATATCTACGTTTTTGCCTCTATAACGTTCGCCTTGGTTGCACTTCAAGATCTTCAGCCTTCCCGGTTTTTTGTGTTTCGAAATACTCAAATAGAAACCATTCAGAATTGCTGTACTTTTTGCATCATTAATAGCCTCCTCATCACTAATAAACAGCGTAGTTGTATTGAAAGCGGAACGGTAATCAATACCATCTCTTCCAAAATCTTCTAAAGACACCTACAATGTATTTAATAATTTTAAAGCATTTAAAAATAATAAAAAAAAAAAATAATAATGTCCGGTCGGTCGGATCGGCCAGACCGGGTTTCAACCGGCCGTCGCCGCTGGTCACCAAGTGGGCCATACGGCCGGTCTGTTAGTACAAAGACCGGTCCGTACGGCCTGCTTTAACGTACGGACATGGTGTGTCCGGTCGAACCGGCCGGACGCCTTTGAGGCCGTCCGGTTCGGTCGGTCGAACACCGCCGGTCGCGTGCTACTTTTCTGGCCGGACGAATTTTTTTTTTACCTCTGAACTATTAGACAAATAAAAAGGGTAAAATCAGCAGGAAATAGTAACGCCCAAAAACTATGCAATCCACAATAACTGAGGCTCAGGCTATGCTGCTGCCACGTGGCTGCTTGGGACACAATTTCGTGGCCAAATAGAAATGCTATTTATAATTTACATTACAATTTTAAATTTTATATATCATAACCAATATTTTATACATTAATTTTTTATCTACTAATCGTCACCGGAAATGTACCGATCAGCGGCGAGACGGCTGCTCCCGACGGTTCTCCGCCGTGGAGGTCATTCCTCTTCTGGACCTTTTCCTGTCGGAGTAGTTAGTACATCGCCATTTTCCACTGATGCTACCTCCGGAAATCTTCCCAACCCAAACCCTAATCATTTCAGCTCATCCACATCACCCTCGCCGCCGTCCACGGCTAGTGCCGGCGACGAAAAGACGCGGTCCGATGAGTTCCGGGGCCACAGAGCCAAGGCCCGGCCTAAAGCTCACTGGCAGGAGGAACAGGCGCGTGTGCTCCATGCCTCTCTCCGCCACGTGGTCTCGCCCCTTTTCCTCCAATTTCATGGTTTTACTGACTTTTGTATACTCTTTTATACTGATTGCGTGTTTGAATCCTGAATTTGTTGCCCAGTAGGAATTGTGCCCATGCGAGCCTATGGTTTTCTTAGTATGGTTATGGTGATAATTGGCACAAAGATTCGAGTTCAATTGATTTGCTCTGTAGCTAGAGTGATTGTTTTCTGAGCATTCGAGTGATTTAATGGATTATTTTTCCTAATCTGTATGATTATGGTGACAATTGACACAAAGATTTGAATTCAAATGATTTGGTCAGTAACTAGATTGATTTTTTTTTTTTTTTTTTTTTTTTTTTTTTT